AGCTCACGAAAGGTTTTCAACGTTAGGACTCCGGACGGACAAGCGCTTTCAGCACCCTATGTACCAGAACCCTTTCAGGCGCTCAAAGTGCAATTCGGACCGGGTTCACAGCTAGCCCACACCATGGCACACCGGCGCTGCCAGGTCTTTTCGCCGGTGGTGTCCTATGGCATCTCTTTGCTGATCTTGCTGCATGTGATTCTCCTTGGTCCCTCGGACGCGTGACCGACGCGACGCTTGTGGCGCGTGTGGGCGAGTGGCGAGTGGCGGCCTGGAGAGGTGAGGTGACACGGACCGTGCCTCGATGAGAGAAGAAGATATGACGTGGCGAAAACGCCACAGCCACCAAGGAGTGGAAGTTGATATATCTGCATCTGTTGGCCTGGAGGATGTGCCTACATGGTTTAGCACATTCAACACTGTCAGCGTGCATCTTGGCTGCATTTCTCAGTGTGGGATGCGACTTTCTTGTTTAACAGGTCGGTGGCCGGCGAATTGTTCATTGTTCCTGGTGGCGCCTCCAGTCAACCAAAGGTTTGGTGCTTACATTGAGAAACCGGACTGGAGGCTCAGTCAGTCCGCAAGAGCAGACCTCCGCTGTACAACAGAGGTGTTTTTGACCAGCTAGAAAGGGCTTTCGATAAGTAGTTTCAACACTGGTTGGGTGAACATTTATATTATTGCATTTATTTGCTCAGATTGGAGCCTGCACCATCATGGAACAGGCTATTCCTTGCAACATCTTGCAACCTTTCATTGTTACCAGCCCCAACTGTTGAAGGGTGATGTTATGCATGTGGATTCCTCGGCCGACATATCACCAACCAACCGTTGACGAAGGGAAAGAACCACCTCCGACGGACGAAACCAGTTTTTGCTGCGTCCCCCTAACTGGAACCCATTTTTTGCGCTCGGGTGCACCCAGCCGATGCAGCGAGTGCAGGGCGTGTTTCGTGGTGGAGATGGCGCTGAAACTCCTGGCTTTGGGTTGCCGGAACTTTTGGTTGGGCGAGGACCGGAGTGGCCCACAAAAATTGGCGGCCCAGCCCGGGTGGGGGATGAGGAAGTCGCAGGTGAGCGGTCAATGAATGACATGTTTGACAGAAACGGTGTCCAATCATTTTTTGAAGCGCTCCGAATTTCCAGGGTGTTCACTTCCGTATTGGATGGATGAGACTTATGCTCCCAAAAGGGGGCTGGCAACAAAGTGTTTTTGGAGCAGTTGAGCGGTTGACTCTGTGGTTGGGTAGGGCACGCCAATCAGTCAGGCATGTTGCCCACATGGTTATGATCATGAGACGAGACTATTTTTGGGATGATTGGGTGCTTGATAATCATTGGTGTTGATCACATTGACCCATTCAGCAAAGTCAGTTTAGTTTCAGTGTTTTCACGTATCTAAAGCCGAGCCCTTCACAACTACTTTCGAAACTGGACCCACAACACGGTTTGTTACTGCTACTGCACCTCCTGCTGAGCAAGTGTTGAATATGCAAACCAACACGGTTTAACTTGCATATTTAGTCACGTGGACTAGTGTGACTAGTACTTGAGACCCCTATATACTATACTCTCATTCTCATACGTATACGCTTTACACCTCAAGTTAGCCCAAAACGAGAGATGTACTATATAGCTTTGTAGAATGAAGGGGCCGGTTCGAGCTCTCCTATGTGTACTATATAGCTTTGTAGAATGAAGGGGCCGGTTCGAGCTCTCCTGAGGCAACCGTCCAAAGCTTTCTCGGACATGTTCTATTGCAAGTTTGTCCGTCGCAAGTGATTCATCAAGTTGAGGGTCGTGAGTTACAATTGTAGGGGTGTTTTTCTGTCAATATGCTATTATCACTTATCACTATCTCATGTTTCCAGGACACCGACCCTGAAACCACCCGGCAGTAGATCACAAGGGCCTATTTTCACGGTCCATGTTAGTCTACAGGGGGGTAGTTACTTTCTCATGTCTCGAGGACAGCTCTTGGAATATCCTGGACTTTATTGTCGTGGCGATTTCTGTGTTTGATGTGGCCATTGACATTCTGCCGCCTGGAGAGGTTTTTGTTCATGCCGGGAGCTAAGCCATGAGCCCAAGAATGCCCCCCAAAACAAACAAACCCTCAAAAAGGGATTAAACAGGGATGGTGCGCAAGGGCAAGTTGTTTGGAGACACCGTAGCGAAGGTCCAGGAGGGTTGCGAATTCGCCGCCGGCCGCTGCCCCAAACCCGAATGTATCGATGCAAACCTCCTCTTTAAAGAGCAGCTGGGGCCTATGTCAATCTTTAACTATATACCAGAAATGCGGAGGTTCATCAGATCTCCAAATCCACTCATCTCTGAGGTCACCCCCTTAGCTCCATCGGTTGAATCGGACCAACAGCAGTCCAGGACATGTTTGTTTCTGAAAGTGGCTCGTACACCGTCTCTTTTTTGGGTGTTGGGGCACCTCAGTGGGCACCTCTCATATATCTCGCATGCTTTTGGAGGTTCCAGACTCTGTGGCCCTCCTTGAGCACCTCTCAGCTGCGCCTCCTTCGCTTCGCGCGCTTCGCCCGCGCCTTGCGCTCCATCCGCGTGGCCAAGCTCTTTCGGCATGTGCGCGCGTTGAGCAGCTCGGCATGGCGCCGATGGGCGTGTTGGACGAAGAAAAGACCTTAAAGGATCTTAAAGGCTTGAATAGAAATGCAAGAAAGTGGATGAATACCAGGGACACCTTCCAGTGTAGGATGTGTTCTTCTTAGAAGGGACACCTTCCAGTGTAATTACAACCAATGGGCTGGCTGCACAAGTTGTTTTTCAATGTTTTTCAGGTGTCTCAAGCCGCGCTAGTGGACTTTGGGCTGATGGAACCGGCAAATGAATCGGCAAAAGCGGTGTATATAGTAGTCAAAACCTGGGACTATATACTTGGTCAGTTTTGAAGTGTTTTGGTGCTTTCTGATGCCAATGTTTTGTGAAGGCCATGAAGGCTGTTGCATCTTTAAGCCTGCATACACAAGTTATGGCAAGTGTTTGCGAGCCTCGTTCCACATTGGAGGTCTTTTCAGCGTCTTCAGCAAGGTTCCAAATCTTCACCATGTTCATCCCCTCAGCGCTTAGACATCGACCATGGCCCATGGCCTTAGCGAACAGAGAGCCAGATCGGGTCCCGGTGGCCGTTTTCAGGTTTGTCACAGTTCTCAGCCCTGTTTTAGGCTTTCATGTGTTTGTTTCCAATGATGCTGGACTCAGGGACATTGGCCTTGTCCATCATGAGCACGATGAGCTCACTTTGCTGGACTTTGGCACTTTTGGTGATCCTATTTTATACCTTTGGAGTGGCTTGGAATTGCAATTGTTTTTGCGTTTCAGACCGGGGGAGTGTCCCGATTTCGGGGTTGAACCGGTTGGCGTGACGAATTCCAAGCCCACCTGGACCCTGGACGCTCCACTGGGGCATGACCCGAACAAAAAGCTGCCTGCAAAACCTTATAACATGTAAGCTATGGAAGGGGCAGGTGAAAAGCTTGCTGTAAAATACGGCTAGATGCAATGCACAAACCAGAAGCAGAGAGGAAAAGAAGCTCTGAGAATGTTTGGCATGTCATTTGCAGGCTGTTTGCATACTTCGACATACGTCAGATTGGTTTTTTACATTTTTCCTATGACAAAGGAAAAATGTAAGCTTACATTTTTGAGGTCCAAAAAAAATGTAAGCTTACATTTTTGAGGTCCGAAAACATAGGAAAATGTAAGTTACATTTTTGGACGTCCCCCCCTCTTAATTTGCGGGGATCTTATAACCATTTGTTGTTGTCCCATGTTTGCCAATGTGTGTTTTTTTCAGGACGAGGTTTTAAGGACGAGATTTGTGGTCCGGGACGTGTTGAAAACCCTAATCCATGAACATGGATGAACATGGTTTATTTCATAACACTCAGATATATCAATCGTGTTCAGGGTGGGAAACCGTTCAGGCTTTGAAAAGGATGTAAATGTTGCCAGAACTTGTAGAAAGCTATCTTTTAGTATTTGGACTGGAATTGGTATCTATCCAGGGTAGCAGGTGCTGCACCCATGATCTAAGGTACGTTCTAAGACTATAGGCTAGAGGTGCATATTCTTTTCTTGGGGAATTGGACCATTACTTGTACTGTAGCGCGGAATCGCTGGTGTAGCGTGGAATCGCTGGTGTAGCGTGGAATCGCTGGTGTGTGTCACTTCTTGTTGTCACTTCTGGTCATTTGATGACTGATGATGCGCCACTTGCTTTTGTGGCCACTTTTACGCTCATCACTCAGCCTAACCGCTAAAACTCTGAAATTCTGGGTGGACCCTCATAGAGTTTTCCAGGGAAGCACCAGCCAAACCGCCACTCCTGTTTGGGGTCGACTTGTCGATGGGCAGGTGATGCTTACACAGTGTCTTGGTTCAGCCTGGCGCGGGGGGAAATTCCAAGCAGTGAGAGTCTCAAACCCGAGGGTGACTCGCTTCGCGCCTCAGAATTGAGGAATTCTTTGGGTCACGTGGTGATCCTCTTTTCAGGGGCCACCACTCGTGCAACTCGCGTTCTGGAGGACCGGTCGACCGGTTCCATTCCCACCAGACCAGGCTCCCTTTGGACCAGGCGAGTCATGAGTCACATGAAGAAGTGGTCCAGGTAGGAACAAACATGAACAAGCATATCTATGCCCAGTGTTCAGCCCCTGATAAAGAACCCCCGTTTTTCACCTCCTGTTTCACCACGTGAATGAGGAAGCCTGCTTTCCTTTTGGCGCTTTAGGGGTGCGGGACTTGCCTTGCCTTCTCATTAGATATGGATCATGATCCTTGATGGAGGAAAAGGACTACGTAAAGGAGCTATGTGCGCTTCACACAAATCAGGAACAGTTTTTGACTCGCCCCACTGACGCACTCACTCCTAACAAGCTCACCTCTTTGCGGGGAGTTTGTCATCTGGCCCGAAACACTTGGGTCGCTGGCGGAGTTTCCGGCGACATTTGGCTTGGACAGGCCCAGCCTTCAAATCCGCCAGAACCCTCGTGGATTTGGGTGGGTGCTTGCAGGCACAACGGGGTTGAAAATCCCAAAAAGAGAACGTCGACCGCCCGCATCATCTGAGAGGTGTTGTCAACTCTCTAGCGGTATCCAGCTGGTTCGGTTGCTGCGGTGATTGTTGCCTTGACCTGCGAACCAACCACTTCCCAAATCGATGCACGATGGGCCACACGGGGGGTGAACCAAACTGATAGGACTTGGTCAGGGTAAGGTGTGAAGTTCAGTGGATCAAATAGGGTCCATATCACGAAAGGTAGCTTGAGCTACCTGAGTTCTCCTTGCTTACCAGGGTTGCTTGTGATTGCCTGCTACCTTTCGTTCACCCCCTCCTCTCTCAAGTATGGATGGATTGGCACTCACTTGGCCTCTAGGCGAAGTATCTGCAGGAGCCAGATGTTGGGGTTGGCAGGACTGAGTTGATTCCATCCTTGCGATATGGTGTCATCAGTTCATGAGCCATCAAAGCCCGTGAGGAGTGTGTTCTTGGCTTGCAGCCGGCTTCCAAATATTGTTCATGAAGGAAGTTGGGAAAAACTCTGCTTGCAGCATGTTGCTCAAGCATGTTCAGATTCCGATGTCTCGCCCGGTGTGATATTGGGAGGTGCTATTGGTCCTATGTGCATGTGCCAAAAGGACGTGGAATATTTTCAGCTTCTCAAGACCCCACACATCCCCACACCACGATTGTTGAGTGGTTTGTGACATCAAATGAACATGGTCAACCTCCATGGGTGTTTGTTCAGCATCGTCCCGATCTCCCATCTTCGCCACCCTGATCCTTCGATCTTCCGTCATTCCACAATCTTTGGGTCGGGACCTCAACCATGGTGAGCATGGTGGTGTTTTGATGTTTTTGCCCTAAGAATCCTTGGGCTCTCCATGGCAGGGGTCGGACCCTCCAATTCTCCAATGTGTTGCTTCGGGCCCCGGATTCTTAGGGTGGAATTGGGAGAGCTTGGGTTCCTCAACAGCCGACTCCAATCGACACTTCGCCCTCCCCAGACACTCGCGTGCAGAGCTGAGGTTGGTGGTGGAACACTGCCGCTTCCTGGGGCAAGACCGCACTGGCACCGGCGATCCAATGGCACATTGCCCCGAGAGTCTCAAGAAGTACTGGGCGCCTCGGCAATTCTGATCGCCATGTTCTAAACTGTGATTGGTTCATTTTTGTTGAGGGGGTGAGGCTTTATTGTCCCAAAAGGGGGTGAATTCCCCTGTTGGGTGAGAGAATGTTTTGTTTAATGCTGTCCCGGCTCCTGAAGCAAATCCCGGCTTTGATGTATTGAAGCTTGTGCTTGCCACCGTCTTCCGTGTGAAGAGGTGGAGTGTGGGCTTCCGCCAAGCCCACACTCTCACTGACCAAGAAGGAATATGAAACAGGCCACCCAAAAGCAAAGAGTTAGACCACTTGCTTTGTCCATAGGGGGCGGAAAAGACGTGCAGAGCATGAAGTGAGCCGTTAGACGTCCCGTTTTTGTGCCACGCGTCGGGTGCCATCTCTGAGGCCTCCGTACCAGAGAGCCTCTTGGCTTGGTGCTTTTGGGATCAACCACACCCTGTCCTTTTGTCGCATCCGGAACTCGGCTCTCGACTGGCAGGAGCATAGATCTTCATTTCCAGACACTCCATGTCATGTGTGATGATAGGCCTAAGGTTATAAAAAAGACCTTTCAAATGGTAAGGCCAGAATCCTTGAAAAAAAATCAAAACAAGTCAGCTGGAAAAGTCAAAGTCAAAAAAACATCTTAAATTGAAAAGTCAAACAACAACATCAAAAAGAATCAAAACCACTCCAAAAAAGTCAACCATAGACCACAGCTGCCACAGCTCGAAAAAAGTTAAAAAAGCGAAAGAAAAGTCAAAACAAACCCCCAAAAAAAAATCAAAAAGCATCTCGAAAAAGTCAAAAAGAAATCAACAAAATATCAAACAAGTCCAAAAAAAGTTGAAAAAAAGTCGGATCTGGGCAAATTGTTTTTTGCGACTTTTTTTGATTTTGACTTTTGGGATTGATTTTTTGACTTTCTTTTTAAAATTAGAAAACAGGCTCTTTCCAATGAACATGTCTTTGTAAGCCTAAGGTAGTGACCTGCGTTGACCAACAAAACCCACCCGCCCCCCAAAAAATGAGCAACCACTCTCTGTTTGTCTTGACTCAAGCACGTTCTTGTTTGAGTGTAGGTAACACGTTAATTCGCTGCTCCTGATCACCTGAGAGCTTCCAGAGAGCCCAAGAGCGCTGGAGTCATGAAGCCCAGAGTCTCCAAGCTGTCCAGGAAAGACTCCAAATTAATTGGTATAAACCGAAATCACAGGTTGCAGGCCTCACAAGTTCCCATTTTTTTCGATTTTGACTTGGGGTGTGGGAGGCAACTTCCATGGAATATATGTCGTTTTTGGGCTACTGTGGAGTGTTGAACTTTTCATCCGCAGAATTCATGGGCATACCGTGCCGTGAGTTCCACAATGTGAGATGGCCTCTTGTTCTCTTCAAAAGCCCACCAGGAGACTATATAGTAGGTTTTATACATACAGACCAACACAGAACAGCCGTGGCAGAGGTAGGCTTTGCATCCTCAACCACAAACTATTTGCACATGGTTTCCTGACAAAGTTACTGGGAAGCCCAGTTGATACTGTCAACGAGCATGGAGGCATTTATGGACATGCCAAGAGCTGGGTTTCTTGAGCGGACGCGCAGGTAGGAAGGGTTGCAACTTGTGGTTTCCTCACCTGGCCAAGGTATGCTGACTCTTTTCATGGCGATGTGACTTGGTCGGACCTCCACGGCGGCGCGCGACCCCCTTTAAAAACATAATCATACTGGGCTTGGAGGAGTTTTTCACCCAAGAACATGGCTGGTGCTTTCATTTACTGGTTCACCTTTCCACCGTATTGTACCGTATTTGGGAATGACTATGCCAGTTCACTCAATATTTGGTGGGAAGGCTGGGCTGTAGGACCATCATTCAGATGGAAGATTTGAACCCGGGAAACATTGGACTAAACTTTAAACATTGGATCCTTTTTTCCAAGGCGTTCGATCCAACGTCCTCGGTGGGACCGGGGGCCTCCAGTGGAATCGAGCACTTGGAGATCAGAATTCATCTCCACTGGTCGCAATATTCAAGGTGATCTCTAATGAAGCTCCCAGAAATATGACGGTGGGGTCAAAGCCCGGGCACCCTGGCTGACCCCTGAAAATGATCAGATTCCACTATAAGGGGTGTCAGCCTACCATGGTTTGGTGAGGGAGGTTTTGACTCATAGCCTAACAGCCATATCTATATATACCCATATAATAGGGTCCAGTAACAGTCGGTGTGATGTTATGGCTTGTTTGTAGAAAGGCTAAAGGCCTTTACTAACCATGATCATCCATTGTTACTTGGACGTACATGGATATTCCGACCTGATCTATACCCACTCAGCTGCGGCCCGCAAGGCTGATCTATACCGGAAAACCCAAAGTGGATCATGGAGACCTGAACATATTGTACCGTGGGAGAACATCAATAACATTTATTCATATGAAATCATATTGAAATCATATAGATTCATGTGAAGGCCCCTTCAAAAACACTTGTTCTATTAGAGAGGTACTGTCAGTGTGTCTAAGTCTAAGTGGTGATGTTGACATGTCCATTTTCCGCGCGATCCACTTCTTTGCTAGTCATTGATTCACGGTCCAGCAACATTTGCGTGTGCAAGCGGCGGGATTATATACGGTAAAAAGAAATAGACAAATATGTATCTATCGATAATATCAAAATTAATCATATGTGGGCGGGCTGTTTTAAAATTAGGGGATTTGCCAGCGAGTCAAGTCTGTAGTTCTTGGCGACATCATGTTTGGTCCACTTGAGAAGACGAGTTTGCCTGGATCGTCATGACACGTGTGTAGACCAAAGCTTGCTTTGTTCCACGCGTGCGAGCGGAAGTTGAATAGCCTTCTCTAGCCCTCCAGCCCAGAAGAGAACCTATGGAACTTGGGGCAGGATACCAGAGAAGAAGCAACTAAACTAACTAAACTTATTTTTCAATCTAACTCAATCCTTTTGTTGAGGTGTTGATTTTGTTGACTGCTTGGATACCAGGTTCTGTTCAAGACATACATCCCATCCCGTGCTTAAAAATCTTCTCGGGACAAGGTCGTTTTCTTGTTGACCACGACTCCGTGTTGTTTTCGTCGGTCTTCTCGTCGACATGTTCGATCGTCAAAGGTCCCAAGGCATCAATTGGGTGGAGGCGATGGAGCCCTTGCGTTCCTCGGAAATGAAGAAACACCCGCGGGTAGATGTTGCTGCGGTGCCTTGCTGCTGTTGATGTGACCTACGTGGTGAAGCTGTGTAGGAAAAGGGGTCTTCATGTTATTTCATCCTACTCGACAGAAGACCCACCCCACTCCACTGGAGTGGCGACTCCCCACCCCACTCAACAAGAACCTGTGTTAAAGGGATGTTGAAGATGTTTTAAGTGAGTTGGAACCAACCAAAAAAAAAAAGTGAATACAAGTGAGGCCCACAAAAGACTCACCTCTGGCAGGTTTTGCTTCTTGGCGGACTTGAAACCACCCAACTCCATGGAACTGGTGTGTTGGATGGATCAATCACCAAGAAGGTGAGTGGGAGGGTGCTTGGAAGCCTGGACCATCCCTGCGAAGCAAGATATGCCCAAGTTCAGCAGGGAGATTGGAGGTTTTTCCAGGGGCGCATGTTCTACTCCAATATGTCACGCATGTTCTACTCACCCCCGTTGGTTTGGGCAAGGTGCTGGCGTTGAGAGATGGCCTGCAAGTAGGTGTTTGGGAGGCTTGTTTTGTTGGCATGGCTCTACTGTCAGCACTCAGGCGAAGTGCACTGGGGAGCAGTGGTTTTGATTTTGGTCTACATTGTGCCACCTGGCTGGAAACCAGAATCAGAGCAGGTGAAAGGGGTGGGGAGGTCGCAAAAGCGTAACATTTAGTTATGCATTTGGCACATATTTTGAAGGATTTGGAGATTTTGGTATTTGTGTCTGACTTACTTCCAGGTTGTCATTCTAGAAGGAAATCGCAAGGGGGTTCCAGTTCTGGAGCTCGATATGTTCAACCAGCTGAATACGATGAATCTGGTTGACACTCTGCTGGCCACGAGGCTTCCGCTCGGTCCGGTGAAGAGTGCGGGGAATGCCTGAGAGTCTTGTTTGGCCCCCTCCGGCCAGATTCTTGGGCTTGTTTGGCCGCCTGGCCCTTGTGGAATTGCAAGGTTTGCAGATGTTGAACAGACTGAGCATGATACTGCCCCACAAAATGGGGTGTACAGTCTAAAACTAAGCTCGGCGATCTGTAGAGTCAAGAAAACGTGGATGAACCTGTTACATTGCAAAGAATGTCCCTGAGGCGGGAAGGATGCAATTCTTGACTTGTGTCGATCCATTTTTCAGAGGAAACCTGGGCGTCGCCCTTACTCCGTGGCTGACGTGCCTTTCCTGCATGTCGCAGCACTGCAGGATCACCATTTTCACCATCCTGAACGTCGTCACCGGCGTGTTTTGACTCTTCGCTTGCACGGAGACCGAACACCGATGTCCGAACAGGTCATCCAGGTTGCTGCACCCGGCCGGCTCTAAAGCGTGCCAGTCCTGGAAGGGAGTTTTGTTAATTATGGTTGCTGGTTGGATCCCCGTAAGACAAGGATAACACCTCTATATATAACCTTCTCTTCACCGTATGTGTCCAGCTTCCTGGGTGGACAAAGTTCTGATCCACAGACAGGTGAGAGAATCATGATCCTGTTGATGTGTGTATGTAATGTAATGTAATGTAATGTAATGTAATGCAAGTATGTAATGTATGTATGTATGTATGTATGTATGTATGTAATGTAATGTTATGTAATGCCCTAGAGGTCCAGGTTATCAATAATTGTATACTTCGCTAATCG